GACTCATTCTTTCTCTACGTCAATATTTTCATCCTACTTAATCACTTCTATTTATAGCATTATATTTGCACCTACTTAATTATTTCTTTTTCAATCTCTATTGTACAATATTTGGATCCGACTCAATTACTTATTCTTTTTTTATCCCTATTACACGTGGTACAGACCATGATAATCATGGTGGGTAGTGAGCGGCTGCTTTTACTGTACAGTAGACTCTCCTATAACGCGAGTTTTTACAACGCGATAAAAAAAATTGCGACAAATTTATTTATACAACGCGAATTTTCGTATAACGCGTTATAAAATAAAATGCGGAAATTTCCATATTGACAACTGAACAATACATTTAAGTTTTATGCACACGCGTTTTTCAATTGTTTTGTTTTTGAACGAAGTAGTGTTGTATACTTTGTCAATTTAATTACACATGTGTTTCTGTAATTAATTTTTTTTAATAGTGTTAAATTGAGTTTTAAAGATTAAAATAATATTTTTAACGCATATAAGGCATTAAATTAGAATTTACATGTAAATATTTTGCAAATATAAAAAAATTACGAAACTTGCTCCCCAGGCATGATGAATAAAGTTGGAAAAAAAGAAAAATTGAAAAGGAGATATACTGTATCATGTAAAAATGTATTGTATAAAATGATGTATATAGGAAAAATAATTATATACTAAAACAAAACTAAAGGTTATATTATTTTATATGCAAATGTATATAAAAAAAAAACAAATTGCGTAGTGAATAAACTTTATTTTTTTTTTATACATTTGCATTTAGTTTTGTTTTAGTATATAATTATTTTTCCTATATACATCATTTTATACAATACATTTTTACATGATAATTGTCACTAACAATTTACCCTAACAACATTCGCGTTATACAGTTTTATTCCGTACAACGCGAATTCCTATAACGCGATTTCATACAACACGAAACACATTAATCGCGTTATAGGAGAGTTTACTGTAATTACACTACACGTCTACACATGTGAAAAGCAGTTCGACTTCGCGCTTACAAATATGCCAGAGCCCCGTTTGATTACTTGCATTTGCTGGTGGGGTTGTATTTCTGCAAGAATCGGGGGCCATTGGAGCCTTTTTTGATAAAAAAAATATATATACCCAATGCAGGATTCGATCCCGGGTCGAAAACCAATGGTTTATACCACCCTTCCACCGGCCCCTTATCTTATCTTTATTCATAGCAATGTTTGCACCCTACTCTCAATCACATCTCAGTAAATCTATCATGTTATCTGAGTATATGTAATTACTATTGTATAGATATTAAAGATAGCTATGTTATTATATTTTCAATACTTGAATATTCATCAAGATTCATTGAAATTTCTTTCAATATTATGAAAAATGCATCTCCTTTTCGTGTAACTGAAAGTTTCACGAGAAGGAGATGCCTTTTTCATAATTTATGCACCTTATTCCAGTACAATATCACATTTGTACTATTTTTTCACATTCTTTCAAAACGTTATTTATGGCAATATTCGTATCAAAATCAATCACGTCTCTTCAAATTTCTCGAATTTATCATGTTGGCCAAGGTAACTGTATATATAAATCATAGATTATATAAACTATATGTAGATAATATCATTTTATTCGCGATCGAACGTTGTACTGTACGTATTACAACCCAAACACGATGTGACACCAGCCATCTCTGTCTTGAGCTCGATGTACCATTTCGGAGACCGTTAAGTCAGTCAGTTAAAATATATGTACGCTCTCTCAAACGATAAAACCATAAAAAAAAAACGTAAATTCATTAATAAGTTCCATTGAATATAAACTATTATTTTTTCTTATTTTTTCTAGCTTAATCAAACTATATGTGTGTCGTATTTCAGGAGGGTGTTCTTTAAGGTAACAAGAAATCACAGAAATATTTTTTATTTTAAAAACCTCTTTGTTGTCTGATTAGAAATCCCCAACCAGAAATTATATATCATAATATTATATAATTATATATAATTCTACTCTCCTAAACGATTATTACCATAGCTTGTTTAAATACCATTTCTAAGATTCCGCCTTTCAGTGCAGCATTTATAAGCATAATGTTCCAATACAGTATTAGAGCTCTAAAGAGGCGGTCTGATAAATTAAATTGGCGAAACCGTTGGGAGGGTTCAACACTGATGAGACAAATCTTTCCAATATTTTTTTCATCTCATTGAGAACAGTAAAAATTTGATTTATGTATGAAAGAAACATTCACGTCTTAATGTTTTCATTTGCTGTATATACGGTAGATGGCGTGTTATTGCTTTATATTAATATATAGAGTTTGTTTAGAAATCTTATCCGACACCTGGAGTGTCGAGATAGAATCAAGATAATTTTGAAGGAATCAAAGAAAGGAAAACACAGCTAGATATCCGATAAATAAGTTCATGGAGAAATTTGAGAAATTCTGAGGTAACGTGAATATTGTAACCAACCTATGGGCTGAGAAGAAATATTTATCAATTGATTTAAACCTCCTGGATATTAAACAAATGCAACAGGTATCTGGAATTAAGTTTCTTTTTAAATAAGTAAAGAGATAAAGAAACCTAACTTCAGAAACCGGTAGCATTTGTTTAATTATGAAATATATATAAAACAAAGAAGGCATTTCCTGACCACATATGCTCATGGTCAGGATATGCCTTCTTTGGTTTCAATATCAGCACCTGACCTTTTCAATTTTTTTTTTCTATTGTTTTCTCATGTGTTAAGCGTATTTACGAAATTTTACCTTAAATACCCATTTCTTGGTTTCTCAAGAAGTCTCTGGGATCAAATGATTTTTGGTCGCAGTGGTACAGCCTACTCCACGCTGACGAGCGCCAACAGCGCGAAACGCGTTCGTGGATGGCTTTTCTTGAATTATCAAGAAGATGGGTTGGCCAAATATCAAGTAACAGGCTAAATCAACGTTTAGTTGATTTCTGTTCCACTAGATGGCGCTCTGCCATCTAAAATGCACATGTACTTGTGGTCAGGATATGCCTTCTTTGTTTTATATATATATATGGTAATTTAAACCAACAACCCTATATTGTATACTACTTATAACAAGATTGTCATGTTGTATCATAGAAACACATCTATAAATAATTATACGCATGATTGACATGTGTCATTGCATCACCATATGTAATGTACTTTGTACAAACTGAGGATGAATAAATAAAAATATGTAATATATTAAGAGCTGAGCTAAGAAAGAGATTGAGATAGAAATCCAACAACCCTAAAGAGGAATTTGGCAAGTCGTTGCCATCAAGGTCAAAGGGTGCAGAATAGCGCAGACGCCCCACGCACTTTGGACCCGTTCAAAGTCCAAATTCTCGCATGTCTCCCTCCTCGGCAAAGGTATATAAAACCTCGGTTTCAGCCGAAAATATAGTCACTTCATCATCAGTTTGAGCCCTCGTCGGTTGTACCCAGGACCACCTCATCGACCATGTAGAACAGTAAGAAATCTTCTATCTCCATCTTGCTCTTAGCTCGGCTCCTATCTGTTCACGGAACTTTCCTACTACAACTGTGTCTCTTCGTTTTTTGTGTGTGGACATTTCCAAGCTTTCCACTCTGCCTCGACCACGACTGCCTGTACTCTGTGAGAACTGTTAAAGGTCCTCCAAGGTGCAGAGAGGTACTGGAAAACTCTCCACGCCCTGACTGTCCCTCTCGGTTACTACAGGTTTGACCCTCGGTTATCACAGCTATAGCGAGAGTCGACAGGATACCTCATCACAGATATATATATATATATCCATAAAAGCGTAGGGCGCCTCTCCCGTCAAAATAAACGTCAAAGTCTGACGCCATCTATTGACCGTCGCCGCAACTAGCAGCCTCGGGTCGGTTTGCCAAAGCTGGTGTTGTGGCTTTGTCACCGACCCGAGGCCGCTAGTTGCGGCGACGATCAATAGATGAGGTCAGTCTTTGACGTTTATTTTGACGGGAGAGGCGCCCTATGCTTCTATAGATCAATTTCCTCCCGGGAAATTTTCCATTTATATATATATATATACAGTGGTACCTCGACATGCGAGTTTAATTCGTTCCGCAACCTTGCTCGTATCTTGAATTACTCGTATCTCGAAGCAAATTTCCCCATACAAAACAATTGAACTACCATTAATCCGTTCCAACCTCCAAAATGTCACCCCTGTTATTTTTGTTACGTGGTTTTAAATAATAAAAACGTATTTATAAATATCAAATATTTATTGCACAAAACAAAAAAGAGAATGTAAAGAAATAAATTAGATATCCTAACTGGTCTTTGCCTTTTTCTCGCTTTCACCTGTAGGCCGTTTAGAAAAAAACATGTCCAAGGAGGTTTGTTTCTTCCTCCCTCTCAGAATGTTCCGGAAATGAGTTAGTTTTCTTAGCACTTGACTTTTTACAAACTTTCTTCCGATCCATGGTTATAAAAATAAATGAACTAAAACTGTAAATGTAAGCGTAACACAAAACGCGAACACAAAACACAACTTATCACAGAAGCACGCTGCTAACTGATCGTGATGGCGCGACTGCGTGTTACTACCTGTTGTGTTTTAACTTTAAAAGCACACAAAAATATAATAAACTTGAATTTGTTTTTTCAAGTCTCAAAAAACAAAGCTTTGCATATAGAACAAATAATAATGAAGAAGAAGAAAGAAACATTTTAGGAAAAGCAAAAACAAAACAAAAGTACTGGTCAAAAAGAAACATTTAAAATCACAGATTAATATCTTCAACACTACCGAACCGAACTCGTATCCCGAATTTCGCTCGTAACTAAAAGCAAAAAATCACTTGCTCGTCGGCTCGTATCTCGAAAAACTCGTATGTTGGGGCGCTCGTATGTCGAGGTACCACTGTATATACAAGCCATAATGATCTTATCTCTTGTTATTTTAGTAATTTTCTATATAATTTGTTTTCTTAAGTGCATCACTCTACATGTAAACAAGAAGAGCCTACCTCACTCTGTGCTCCCACGAAATTATCCCTCAAGTACTGACTGTCTCAACATTGCTTAATTTCAGTGATTGAACGAGAACTGATGTTTTCAATGTGGTATGATCGTAGGCATTTTCTGTCTATACTTTGCACAGGAGGTCGGTGGAAGGGTTGTCTAAACCGTTGGTTTGCGACCGCTACGACCCGGGATCGAACACACATTGGACACTTTTTTAAAATTAAAAAATGCTCCAATGTCCCCCGATTCTTGCAAAGGTCCAACCCCACCAGCGATTGCAAATAATCAAACGATTCTCTGGCACATTTGTAAGTGACAAGTTGAACTGCTTTTCACATGTGTAGACATGTGGTGCACTTACAGTAAAAGCAATCGGTAACTTCTACCCATCATGATTATCATGACCTGTACTACGTGTATTTGTGATAATAATATAATATACGTTACCCATTTAAAGATATATTTGTGAGAATTATTCCTCACTATATTAACCATGATTTAGATTAAGGTCTCCACGCTCCCTACAGTTCCATATCATTGTAATCTTACAATATTGAATATAAGCAATGAAAGCGTTTAAAATTTGAGGAACAAAGATCTAAGCCATACCCAAATAGTAAACAAATTCAGTTCCATATATTGGAGCTAATTAAGATTATATTCAGCAAGAAAAGCAAGGAATATATTTAATTTTCAACTATATTGGCAATATACTAAGCAAATTTAAGCATAGGAAAAGATAATAACAATAGAACTCAGCCCAAAGGGATCAACTATGTAAGTTTAACCCCAAATATTATTAGCAAATGCACAGAAAATAAAATACAAGTGTGAGGTGCATACCAAAGATGTACAGAAGACATAAAAACTGCAGCAGCTGCCAAGTGTGAGACTTCCCTTGGGAGATGTTGTGTGCCATCACTCCAGGGAAATCAAGAATCTCTTACCCACTTATCCTTTCAAATGGGATGCCGAATTTGTGCTACTGAATTCTAATACATTAAATGTTACGCGAGTGGGAAGTTCCATGAAATTTATGGTCGCTTCTTTTTTTTTTTTTTTTGCTTATCCCAAGTACACGTGGTACAGGCCGTGATAATCATGGTGGGAAGTAGGCGACTGCTTTTACTATAAGTGCACCACATGTCTGTGAAAAGCAGTTCGAATTTTCACTTATAAATGCGCCAGAGCCCTGTTTAGTTACTTGCAATCGCTGGTGGGGTGGACTTTTGCAAGAATCAGGGGCCATTGGAGCATTTTTTTCTTAAACAGAAAAAAAAGTGCCCAATACGGGGATCGAACCCGAGTCGTAGCGGTCGAAAACCAACGGTTTAGGCTATCCTTCCACCGACCCTCTGGTCGTTTCTAAATTGTTTCAGTGGCAAACAGTTGCTGATGTAATTCATTGTCCCATTATTGTTAAAATTCTTTACTATAAATATATATATATGTTATTAAATGTGGAACCTATATATTGTCGCAGTAAGTTCCTCATAAAACTTTCAGCCAGGAGCCAGAGTGGGAGCGCACTAACCTGAAGACAAAAGAACTCCACACGCAAAGAAACATGGTTACCATTGTTTAGGGGGGACGGCACCCGATCAGGTGAGAATGGACTAGGAGAGAGTCCTGTTATTGAACGGGCAGCATGGAGACCTAATCGTACTGCATGTTCTGGTTCTCCTAAGATGGATTAAGAAAGAACCCAGCTTATATATTGATGGTCACTTCAGAAAAGACAGACTTTGCTGTCCAATCAAGAACTGGCATGGCCAATATGTTTAAATCCTGTCTCAACTTCTTGGACAATGTTAAAGACCTGTTTATGACATTTCGCCCTTCCTTTTTCCCTGTATATATATATATTTTTATTATTATTATTAACGTCATCAATAATATGACCTATATACTCAATTATGTGTCGGCACATAATAATTGGGGCATTTATCGGGACTTTTTTTCCCCTAAAATGTTTTTTCTTAATCATCATGTCTCTTTTTTTATGAAAATACAAAGCAAAACTCTATCAACCATATTATGTTTTTTTACGTCTATAAAAGTTTGAATGCAGACCAATCATTCTCGTATCTCAACGAACTTTTGAGCAAAGGAACAATAAAAAAAAAGTCAATATAGTAAGAAAAATTCTTTATTCCAAATGTTTGCGGAATAAACATGGCACTATCAAGGAAAATAAGAAGGCAGAGTGAAACTCGATTTAAGTGTGTAACGTAGGTACTCGCATTCTACTCTTTAGGTAATACTCATTTTTTAAATCTCCACTCAGGCTCTTACTGACACTGAAGGTGATATGGATTTTTTATTATCCCTAATACACGTGGTACATAGGGCATGAAAATCGTGGTGGGTAAAAGTTGGAGACTGCTTTTACTGTAACATGTCACATGTCTACACAGTTCGACTTTTGCACTTACAAATCTTCCAAAGGCCTGTTTGGTTACTTGCACTCGCTGGTGGGATTGAACTTTTGTAATAATCGAGGGTCATTGGAGCATTTTAAAATTATTAAAAAAAATAAGGTGCCCAATGCGGGATTCGATCTCGAGTCGTAGCAGTCGAAAACCAACGGTTTAGACCATCCTTTCATCGACCCCCTATATGGATTTAAAATGTCGAACGCCTGAATATATGCATCTCTTGAAAATATAGAAATACTAGCCGAATGACCCGGGCAACGCCCGTGTTTTACCCGATTGAATGTTTTTATTCAAATACTATTTGTTACAATTATAAATTGGCGCCTTAAATAAATGCATATATTAGTTAATACCTATAGCCTATGTGCTTTATCTGTCTATGTACTGTTGGCTTCCGTAGGCGTCTCTTACTGGGAAAAAGAAAGAGAGGATTCCATTTGTTTATTAACTAATATATGCATTTATTTAAGGAGCGACCCGCTCCAACACAATAGTTACAAAAACGAAAAAGCGAGTGGGGGGGCAAGGTGGCGTGATCGTAGCCAACCAATAGGAGGGCGCCATTCCAAAAAAAAAAAAAATCAAACGGTGACAGAGATGAAAAATGAAGAATTAAGAACGCATGACGCTCGTAACTGTATATAGAATTCCAAAATATTGATGTTTTAATATTCGGAAATCTGCTTGAGTCTCGGGGGCACTGTGCTATTGAATTAAGTTTTAACTATGACTGTTATTCTATACCTGTTCTTAATACAGAAATTCTACCTATAAAAGATATTGAGTAAAATTAATCAGGCCTCCAGGTAAAAGTGTCTTTTCAAAACATTTTTATTCTCTAGCTTTCGGGCACGGACAAGCTTTTACAGGAGAAAACCTGGTATAATAATTTGCCAATAGAACACGAGTTAAATATAATCGGATACTATTTCACATAATTTTATAAAATTTATTTATTACAAAACACACGTTATATCCTATGTGGATATTTGCATGTAAATGTTTAATCTATTTTATGTACATAGTTTTTAAATATATATATATATATATATATAAATTATTTATAGGTTTAGAGAGAGAGTGAAAGTTATTTAAATTTAAATTTTAGAGCCGTTTGTACTCTATGTTAGGAGCGGCTGCACATGGCGTCTGTTCCTCATGTCAGAGGCGGCCATTTCTTTTGGAGCTAAGTCGGCCTGCCACTGAGTAGTGCTCCCAGTCTTAATGACAAAGGCAGACGCATTCTACTTCACCAAGATAAGAAAGAAGAAGAAGAAGACATTTTAGAGCAATAAATTATACAAGGAATTGAGGTTATTCACACACATATTATCAAAATTTCAATATATCTTTAGAATTACAACCACTAAACCAGTGGCACAAATGTAAAACATTCAAAAAAAAAAACAATAAGACAGACTTTGCTGTCCATCAATTCTTAATGTAATTCAGGTCCACGGCATTTGGGCTAGAGTCTACAGAATTTGTTAAATTCTCTATATTCTTCTTTACTGGATGCTATTTTACATAATTTTATAAAATTCTTTAGATATAAAATCTATGCTATATTAATCTATAAAATATTTTATATCTATAGAATATTATAAAATTATGTAAAATAGTATCCGTTTATATTTAACTCGTGTTCTATTGGCGAATTATTATACCATGTTTTCTCCTGTAGAAGGGCGTCCGTGCCCGAAAGCTAGAGAATAATAAAAATGTTTTGAAAAGACACTTTTCCCTGAAGGAATGATTAATTTCACACAATATTGATGCAAGGGAGTATTTTATAGAATAAAATATATGTAAACACACTTTTCTCATTTTATTAGGAAAATAATAAACTCCAAAATAAATACTTCTATGATAAAATCAAGCCAAACTAATCCCAAAATATTTTGTAGATATGCCTAGATAGCGAACAACCAATCAGAAAGGTGATTGATGATGTCATAGGCTACGCCCACTCCATATAATTGGCCCGCCCAAGTCGAAAAAATAACTGTTGAGGAAATTGTAGAGGGCCAAGTTGAAATAAAACCGACCGAATTATTTGACGGGTTACCTCTTTTTTTTTTTTTTTTTACAAATTTTATTTTATAGGATTGTTGAGAGTATAATTTCATATTTTTTGTTATTGAACTGAGTTTACTAGTTACTAATGTTATTATGGGAATAGTTAAGTTGTATTTTTTCCAATGTTTCTTGTTTTTTTCCGAGATATCAATCAATTTTCACCTTTTTTCTATCTATATTCTGGACATAGAAATGGCCTCATCACTTTACAAACTAAATACCTCTTTGGTAAATTCTGATGGTTTCATAATAACTCCCTTGCAGATTTCATGAAATCAAAGACTTTCCTGGACTAAAAAGGGTTATAGCTCGATATTATGGATTTCAGGTGGGCATACTGATTTTTTTAAACCGGTGATGTAGTTTGATCAGCGACCTGTTTGATTGTAGAGATGGCCAATAGATGGCGTATAGTTTTGGCGTCTATTTAAAAAAAAGAGGTACATTCAGTTTTTTAAATAAATTAATAATTGCAGTATATAAAGAATACTTATAGCTTATCTAGTAACATTTTTTTTCAACGCCTATCTATGCTAGACGCCTATCTTCGCTTTATTTACTAGGGTATCAATATAACATTTTCTGTCCACA